ACTGTTATATGACCGAATAGTTTGCTCCTGCAGATTTTTGAAGAACGAGTAGGTTTCAATGATCTTTCAGATTGTGAATAAAACATAAATGTCTTCTATTTTCACAATGGCAACATTTCACATTCGTTCTTTGCGCAGTAAGATATAAAGCAATCATTATAACGCCATGCGTGCAGCTTGAGTTTGTCTTAGAATTTTGATAATCCTTTGTGCTTTAATGCCCTCATTTATTGTCATTTGTATTGTTTTTATTCTTCTGGCAATTAATGCATCATTTTATTGTTATGCAAAATAAAAAATTCAGTTTATGTTGCGTCAAAATGGGGGCTTGGACAATTTCCATAAAGTAAAACACAAAAAGCAGGTTAAAATGTCTTATTTCAGTTTTGCTTACCGGAAAGTGCCACAGCAACACGATCAACTCCTCCCAAGCCGGACATGCTATCCTTGGCCATTGGCCCCAAAAATTTTGTCATAAAATTTTTGCCATGTCCGTTAAGCAACGTCTTCAGAAGATTCGCCGTTTCATCGACTGGCGGCCTTGACGCTGAAATGAGCGTACCATTACATTATATTTAGTGTTAATTCTTTAAAAAAATGACTATTAAATTGGTATCGCTGAGTGACTGAAATATTAATCCCTACTGCTTTGAACTTTAGCGTAAATCTCCAACACGACAACCTGTGGCCCTCACAACATGATTAACGTTCAGCTCTCTATGATCGTGAGAGAACGGGGACCTCGTTTATTGAGGCATGTGCTGAGGCTTGTACCAGAAGAAATTACCTTAATTACATTGATCGACACCATGTTCTACGGATGGCGCTGTGAAAAAGGCAGAGACAAGTAATGTTCTGGTGAGCACTATCAAAGTTGACGTTGAAGTTACCTCTATGGCGAGAATATACTGGTAAAAACGGTCGATGAAGACTGTAGGAGATGTGAAGGCGAGAAGGTTGCTGTTTGCAGACGACCTTGTTTAATTGGCATCTTCTGAAACTGATCTACAGCGCTTTGGAGGAAGTTTCACAGCTGAATGCGACATGGCCGTCATACATGTTAGCCAGTCTGAAATGCAAGGCCTGGTGTTTTCTCGTTCTGATGGCCCTTACTCACATAGATAAACAAGATGACAGTGGAGCAGTGAAGACATT